CCAGGCCTAGGGTAGGCTGGGACGAGTTGAGCACGAAGCAGGCGGGCACACAGGGCCAAGGAATGTGGCATGGTGGGGGACAGCTGTCATAGCAGGTCGGCTCCGGTAACTAAACCGTGTGTGGGCAGATGCTGGGCAGGCAGACTCCACATCGGCAGCATTTTTCAGATGAGCAGGTGGTGGTGGCAGGGCCGGTGTGGACACTGCGGCAGTAACGGGAAGCACAGCAAGCCATGGCATTGGGACTCTGGTTTGCTTTTGGAGAAACCATTTACTTTAAACCTTTTAGCCTGTTGTGGTATCCAAGTCTAAAGTAAATGGGAGTATTTTGTACCATTTAAAATTCAAAAACTGTAATACACTAGTTCAAATTTCATGTCTACTACCTAATTATAAGATGCTTAGAGACTCTAATGCAAAGTTTTGAATGTAACAAGTAAAAACCTGAATATGAATAGCCAATATTTCAAAGTTCAACAGTGCTCCTCCATTGACAGTCTGGAGTCAGCAAAGAGGAAACTCATAGAAGGTTCTCCCTGGAGAGGCTCTACAAATCTTCTAGTCTGCTCTGCTTCATTTATAGATGAGAAAACGAACATCCAGAGGAGATGGTGCAATTTGCCAAAGGTCACACAGCTGGTTACAGTGACAGTGCCAGGTCTAGCAGTGAAGCCTGCACTCTCCTATCTAGACTTCATTTCACTTTTTCCCAGACTGACATCTCACCATGAACAATTCATTGACAATTTACAAAATATATATAGTTATAATTTCCTAAATAAGATTTAACAATCCAACTCTAGATTTTCTTAAGTTCATTAAATTGCTCGACATAGCTAATGAAGGCTAATATATACTGAGAGCTCTTACTGTGCTTCCAGCCCTGTACTCAGAGTTTACATTATCTTGCTGAATTTTCCCAACAACCTCATGAGGCAGGTATCATTATAGACATGAGTACTCTCAGGTATAGAGAGATAAATAGATTGTGCAAGATCACACAGCCACTATGTGGTCTAGCTGGGACTGCAACCCAGGTCTGTCTGATTTTTAACTTTGTACTTTTTTGTGTGTGGTACGCGGGTGGGCCTCTCACTGTTGTGGCCTCTCCTGTTGAGGAGCACAGGCTCCGGACGCGCAGGCTCAGCGGCCACGGCTCACGGGCCCAGCCACTCCACGGCACGTGGGATCCTCCCGGACCGGGGCACGAACCCGTGTCCCCTGCATCGGCAGGCGGACTCTCAACCACTGCGCCACCAGGGAAGCCCTAGCCTTGTATTTTTAAGAAACACATTTCCTGTCCTCCAAAATGTCACCTTCATATGAATATGCTCTTAAATTTTTTTTCTGTTTCCTCCCTTTTTCCTTTTTTTTTTTTTTTTTTTTGCTGTACGCGGGCCTCTCACCGCTGCGGCCTCTCCCGCTGCGGAGCAACAGTCTCCAGATGCGCAGGCTCAGCGGCCATGGCTCACGGGCCCAGCCGCTCCCTGGCACGTGGGATCTTCCCGGACCGGGGCACGAACCCGCGTCCCCTGCATCGGCAGGCGGACTCCCAACCACTGCGCCACCAGGGAAGCCCCTAACCTTGTACTTTTAACCAGAATTCGAAACATCCTCCCTTCTGATTGTGCTTTCCTGTTGGTCTATATGAAAGTGTACTTTTAATAATAATTTGGAGGTACTCGTGACTTCTCATATTTTCGTAAGAAGATGGGAAAATGTATCTCAGCGTGTTTCATGCTTCTTTTATTTAATTGGGATTGATTGTGTATACCAGAAAATAATGAACCGATGGAATACCATCTTAAGTCCATTGAATTTAGCATTCTTGTCAGTTCATGTCACTTCACTGCTAACAACCCTTCAGTTTCTTCCTTCTCACTGGAGGCAAAAGCCAAAGTCCTTAAAAAAACACTGGCAAGGCTGCTGGCAATCTGTATCTCCCCTCCTCTCCCTAACCTGCCCGATCTCCCTGCCTATCCTTCCCCTCAGGCCTACTTTTTGTTCCCTCCACCTCAAATGTTACCCTACTTCTTAGGCTTCCCTGACCACCCCATTTATAACTGAAAATCTCCCCCGACTGCAGCACACCCTGTCCCTCTCCTGTTTTACATTTCCCTGCAGTACTTGTTACTGTCTCTATTTTATTTATTGGCTAACTCTAAGAGAATGAAGGCATAATTACATAGTTCACTTCTGTACTCCTAGCGCTTGTCTTAGAGAAGGTGCTAAAAAATATTTGCTGAGTGAATTATTGTGACAAACTACAGATGCAGGTATGTGCCTTTGCTTCAACCTCAAAATGTGAGCTATATATCCTGAGCACCCTAACTCTCTAATGCCCTGTCATAGGTCTATTACCCATGGGTAATTCACTAATCATTTTTTTGCTATTGAGAACTAATTTTCCCCCTTTTCCACTCTGTATTCTTGGTAGTCTCCAGGATTTCAAAAAGGGGGGATTTCAAGTTCCTTATAGGTCCCTCAGCAATTTAGAGAGAGTGATCTGTACTTTTACTGGTCTCCGTAGAACAGGACAATCATAACAGCATTAAAAGTATAAGAAGAGGGGCTTCCCTGGTGGCGCAGTGGTTGGGAGTCCGCCTGCCGATGCAGGTTGGACGCGGGTTCGTGCCCCGTTCCGGGGGGATCCCGCGTGCCGCGGAGCGGCTGGGCCCGTGAGCCATGGCCGCTGAGCCTGCGCGTCCGCTCCGCAGCGGGAGAGGCCACAACAACAGTGAGAGGCCCGCGTCCCGAAAAAAAAAAAAAAAAAAAAAAAAAGTATAAGAAGAAAAAACAATTATTAAAATGAAGTCACTATTTGTACTTTCAAGTGGTAAAATAAAATGTTGAATGGTAGATTTCACCTGTTTGTAAAAAGGACAAGCAGTTAAGATGATGGCTGTTTGAGTATTTACAAAAACTGTTTCTCAGTTAAATGTTGTCTAAGAAGGGCCAGTGTAATGAAAGAACCTGGGGTGGGGGGAGGACCTCAGCTTCCTGGGCCATAAAATGAGCAGACTGAAGATGATCTCCAGGTTACAAAGGTCTTGGAGGCAAAGCCATGGAATTTTCTCATGCCCATCTAAAGTTATATTTCATGTTTATTATTACAACTGATTTAAGAACAATTGTTATAAATCAGTATTTAGATATACATTTTTCATAGGTTTTTTCCAGTTAAATAGAAATTGTTTTCATATCACTAATACTTAAAATTGTAAATCATATCTAAGGGCACATAAACTTAAATGACCATCATAATAACTATATTTAACTCTGATTCATTAGGGGACTAATTATCCAGCTTGTGAACATTTAAGCCCCCTGTAGTTCTCTTCCTATTTTGAACAAGGGCAAAGAATTTGAAAAGCTCAAATTCCAGTCTGTCACTTGTTTATAAGCTCCAAGGACGTTACAACCAAGGGCTAAAATGAGTTTTTGGCACCATTCGGAAGTTCCTATTTTGGGTGCTATCCCTTCCACCTTCATTAACTTGAACTAAGAATTACTAGTACTATACATAATTCATTAATTTCAACTCAGATCATTTCACAAATGTTAAACTTTCATCTTTATATATGACTGCATGGTAAAATACATGATTCTTAAAAGCTGTTGTAAAGAACTTTAAAAATAAAATTTATTAATCAGCTAAATCATACTAGCCTATGGGAGAAAGCTCACATGCTTATTTTTCCAAAGTTCTAATTAAAATTGGGGCAGCATTATTGTGACAGCTAAAGCACCAAACAGTGGGTATAGCTGACCTCCTTAGTCAGAGATAGACTAGACTGGAACATTGGCAAGCCACTGTGCAGATTCTCTGGGGTTTAAGACGTTCACCTCTATCACATATTTAAGTTCTGGCACTCCTACCTGAAACTTGAAGAACATAACACACCTCTTACTTAGTGAAGAGAAAAATTAAACTTCTAAGACACACCAAAATAACATTTCTTTCGAGAGTGATCGTTTTCTTTTTACAAAATCACAGCCCTTTATTTTTCATGAGCTTTTATGAGGGTTTCAGCATAATTTGGCCAGAAGTATTCCTATAGGAAAAGTAATAGAATCAAAGTGTGTGACCTAGCTGGGTCTCATCCTCATTGTTAACTACGGGGACTTCATAACTAGATGACCAGGTCCTAAACTGGACAGAATAAATCTTAAAGGTGATCCGTCTTTCTGGTAGGTAAAGAAAACACAGAATTGCAATTCTGAGGCTTACAAGACTTCTTTGGCTAGGAGTGCCATGACAAGGCCTGTAACGTATATGCTTTGCAGTATGGAGTGGAGTACATGTTCCAAAAGCAAGCATTTTTATCTCCCAAACCCTGCATCAGGGGTCATGGGAGAGACAAAAGGAAGGCCCTTCCCGAGTTTAAAATTCAATTCGCAAGGCAGGACTTAGGAAAATTAAACCAAATATTAAACGGAAGAAAATCCCCTGCTTAGAGTAATTGCCAACTTGCGTTGTACAAATCAAAACTGAAATAAAATTTTAGGGCGTTCTAAACAAATAGCTGGAGAAACAGATAAGACAAATCTAAAATGGAAGAAAAGGTGGCGGATTCGAGTTGAAAATGCCAAGTTGAGGACAGAAAGCATTTGGGTAGAAGCAGCCTCCGGGCTGGAAGGCAAATAGCAAACGAGTACTGCCACCAAAGATGTGGAAAGGCCAATAAATGTTGCAGTGAGTCGGTTTAACTAAAAGAGGTTTCCTCCTCCTCCTCCTCCTCCTCCTCCATTAGCTCGGCCCCAGTTGGAAGCGCAGTGCGCGGCACCGCGCTCCCGGCCCGCGGCTCGGGTGGGAGCGGGGGGAAACAGGCGTGGGCGGGGCGGGGCGAGCGCGGGCGCTCAGCCGGCGCAGGGGCGGGGCGGCTATATTACGTGCGCGGCGCCGCCCCTGCGAGAGGACGTTGCGTGCTCGCTCGCGCCAGGCGAGTCTCCGCGTCTCCCTCGCGAACTTGGTGAAAGGAATTGGCGCCGTTCGACACCAGGCGGATCCGCTCTGCAGCAGGAACCCAGCTCCAGCCGCAGCCGCAGCCGCAGCCGCCGCCTGGGCCGAGGAGCAGCCTCAGCCGCCGCCAGTGGCCGAGTGAGCGGAGCCGAGTTTGAGCCAGCGCCTAGCGGTGAATCGGGGCCTCACCATGAGTTCCTCGCCTGTTAATGTGAAAAAGCTGAAGGTGTCGGAGCTGAAGGAGGAGCTCAAGAAGCGGCGCCTGTCCGACAAGGGCCTCAAGGCCGAGCTCATGGAGCGTCTCCAGGCCGCGCTGGACGACGAGGAGGCCGGGGGCCGCCCCGCCATGGAGCCCGGGAACGGCAGCCTAGACCTGGGCGGGGATTCTGCCGGGCGCTCGGGAGCAGGCCTCGAGCAGGAGGCCGCGGCAGGCGGCGATGACGACGAGGAGGAAGAGGAGGAGGAGGAGGAAGGGATAGCCGCCCTGGATGGCGACCAGATGGAGCTCGGGGAGGAGAACGGCGCCGCGGGGGCGGCCGACTCGGGCCCGATGGAGGAGGAGGAAGCCGCCTCGGAGGACGAGAACGGCGACGACCAGGGCTTCCAGGAAGGGGAGGATGAGCTCGGAGACGAGGAAGCCGCGGGCGACGAGAACGGGCACGGGGAGCAGCAGCCTCAACCGCCGGCGGCGCCGCAGCAACAGCCCCAGCAGCAGCGCGGGGCCGCCAAGGAGGCCGCGGGGAAGAGCAGCGGCCCCACGTCGCTGTTCGCGGTGACGGTGGCGCCGCCCGGGGCGAGGCAGGGCCAGCAGCAGGCGGGAGGTAAGAAGAAGGCGGAAGGCGGCGGAGGCGGCGGTCGCCCCGGGGCTCCGGCGGCGGGTGAGTGCTGCGTGGTTGGTTGCGCGCGGCGGGAGGCCCGCGCGGGGTGGCGACCGTGCCCAGGCCTGCCGGAGCCCCGCTGGGGGAGGAGGGAGCCCCGTCGCGGGAGGGAGCCCCCGGGGGGGGCGGGGGCCGCTGCGTGGGGGTGGGGGGGAATCCCGGATTAGACGTGAGGCCTCCGCTTGGTGTGTGACGGCGGCGGCAGCGCCTCCATTATGTGGCTGGAGAGCCGGGGTGGGG